TAAATAAAAGATAATTAGGAAACAAATAATTAAATAATAAATAATAAATAATAATTATTTAGACGCGAAGACGGTCGTATTTCTCCAGAAATGCTAGCGCGGCCTCGTCTTCATCATGTACTCTTTCATGCTCAAAGATCCTTTCTTTAAGGCCTGGATCTCTATTTTGTACTGCATGACCCTTGCAAGAGACTGGCTACTGAAGTTTTTCTCTAGGGCCGTCCATATTTCCATGGAGGTATTGTGACCAACCATCAAAGGCAAGATGTTGCTGCTCAGTGAAGAGAGAATCCATGAACCAAAGAGATGATCTTGCCTTTGCCAAGTGATGAAGTCTGGGTTGGTGGTGACTGGTACTGTAGGAAGAAACTTCTCAGGAGCTTTGTTGGTTTCATCAATGTAGCCATCGAGTCCATACCCTCGTATGGCCATGTGGACCTGCTGCTTCCAAACCAGAAAGTTGTGATCATCCAATTTGACTGTGACTAATTGATTGCTTGGTGAGATGAGTTGAAGGGAGTTGGGAGCTCCTGAGTTAATACTGGAAGTATCAGACATTTTTCAAAGGATTTTTTTTTTTTTTGTGTGTGTGTGTGTGTGATAATCAGAGCCAGGTGATTAAACCCGCTCTGATACCATGAGAAAAATCATGAAATGAACTGAAATGAACAAATGCTTCGAAGCTTTTCCTTGCTGTCAAATGCCATGGCGGCTGAGATAATACAAGATGATTATCATATCCAAACCCTATGCTAGGATATTTATAGCTAGCTAAAGAAGAGTCTAGACTATGGCTAGATTGCTGCCACTTGTCTATCATCTAGCCTATTGTTGTAATCGGGAAAAGCTGTCAAGGAATATGCTCTACATTGCTTGTGATTGTCTAGGCTATGCTTGGGAGTGAGAGAGCCGTTGTAGTTGTCTCCATGCAAAGAGACAAGGCTTGCTGACCTCATGGTGACATCATGCTGAAGAGAGGAGTGTGCCGAGTACATGCAATGGTCATGCAGAGGTGATGAGCTTGGTTTAATGGTTTTTAACAATAATCCATAGAGAAAAATATTGTTGGTCTAAAAGATCCGTCGTTGGTAATCTGGTGCTAAGAAATCTGTTCCATTGGGTTGTTGGTAATCCGATGCTAAAATATTCGTTGTAGGTAATCTTCTAGTAAATCTGTAAGTAATATGTCGACTTTCTGTTACTACTTTGGTAACGAAATTATTAGCAACTACTTTATATGTTGAGATCGTTGGTAAGCTGTTGAAGTTTTCCTAAAGAATTGTTACCAAGCCATATAGTAACAAAAAAGTCCGTTGATAATCTATTCACATTCCGTTGAAAAACTTGATCATCAATGAATTCTTCTATTAATAAAACACATATATTCCTTGTAGCAATCATCCAATAATAAAACACATATTTCTTGTAGTAATTTGTCTATAGTCGTTTAGTAAAGAACCAAACTTCATTTGACAATGTTAACACATTAGAGAAAAAAAATAAAAAAAATGATATGATTAGCAAGAGATTATAATATCATTAATTAACCTACGTGTTGGCTAAGATTTTGTTACTATAGTGTGCCCGAAAAGAGAAGCTGACTACATTGACATTGACCCACAACTACATTAAAGAGCCGACATTACCCGCCTACTGCTGAATAATTGCTAAGTTGGAGTATAATAAACTAATGGTATTTGACTTGTTTTAAAACTTTGGATTTGGTAGCTAAAAATCAGATTTTGCTTGCTGCTTTTGAGTTATTATTGGAGCCAATTATAGAAGCGTGGCGTCAATGAGCTACCGACACTTTGAAAAATGAAGCATTTTGATTCCAATAAATGTGGGTTTGTATCCTTTCTAAAGATGTTATTTTCACCATTCAAGGGGTATTTTTTTTTTTTTTTTTTTTTTAGGTACAAGGACCTTCCGGTTTTCGGATCCACAGGGGAACCGACTAATCCGGAATCGAGCCGGGTAGGACCACAAGGGCGGCGAAGCTCTCCCTCAAGAGTTTTAACACTGCTGCATTCCGAGGGCTCGAACACGAGACCACATTCAAGGGGTATTTTTAATCTTTATAAGAAAGATAAATGGAATAATTATGATTTAAATTTTGGTATGAAATTATCTAATAGGTGTAACTTCTTATCTTATCTAATATAGTGATATTAGACTTAAATTAACTAATAGTTATCTCATAACATTTAAAATTTGGCCAGTCTAGTAATTATTCTAGTTGAGGGTTTGTATCCTTTCTAAGGATGTTATTCTAACCATTAAGGGATATTTTTAATCTTTATAAGAAAGATAAATGGAATAATTATGATTAAAATTTTGGTATGAAATTATCTAATAGTTGTAACTTCTTATCTTATCTAATATATTATTAGAATTAAATTAACTAATAGTTATCTTATAACATTTAAAATTTGGTCAGCCTACAAATAATTCTAATTGAAATTCAAGGTTCAGAAGAAAAACAAACACATCATGTTCGCATGTTTGTTAAATTGGGGATTTTTCGTCCATCTAACTAATTGTGTTGAAATATCACTTGTGAGTTGTCCCACATTCATTTGATAGGGTAAATGAGCTTACTTATAAGGTAAATGAGCTACTCCTCTCATCACCAATTGATTTTGGGATGGAACCTCACTTGGACGTTATTTGGACTAACCTTCTTATAGTGCGCTTCACCTGTGTGGGACCGCACTCATTTTGCCCCCGTTTGACAACTTGCCATGCAATCAATTAATCGGCCATGTTGTATGATCAAGTAGTTTGGTGGATTAAATATTTCAACGGATATTCCAATGGTATATTTTCCGTTTGAATGGCTACAACAGAAATTCCAACGAAAATAATCCGTTGGAATGTGTTTTTCATTGAAATTTTAGATAGAATTTGATGATTCTAACTACTATATTTCCAATTACTTTTTAGCATATGAATTTTCATCTGTTCCAATTACCTTTTAATAGCATATGAATTTCCATCCGACTACTTGTGTTGTGTGCACTATTTTGTTTTATAGTTTCACTAGTACAAAACCCGTGTATTACACGGGTGCTTGCTAATTTTTTTCTTAAAATCTAAAATTAATGAGAAAAAGTAGTTGAAATTTAAATAACTTTTACAAAAATATATATTATTATATATTTACTATGACACTTTTTATTTGTGCGACTTATCTGTGTCGTATTATAATAATTTTTTAACTTACAACATATAACTACATTAAAAGTCAATTTATAAATAATTTAATTTTTCTAATGAAATTTAAAAAATATTAATATTCTTTATTATTATAAATATAAGTATAATTTATTTATTTCATATATACAATATGGATTTCGAAGATCATCAAAAGATGATTAATTTGATATATAATATATTTAAAACTGATAAATATAGCAAGAAATTCATAAATGCTGAGAAAGATGATAGTGACATGATACTGTAAATGCAAGTTTCTTGATTTCATACTGCAACAAATGCAGGCTATACACACATATATAGTAAACGTCCAAACCCTAGTAGGGTAAAAGAAAGTTCACCTATTTTACTCTAAAAGGGAAAATGCCAAAACAGTACAATGAGGTAGAACGACTCTATCTCTTCTTCACAGCTGCATGGTTGTCTTCATGCACACGTCAGATTGTGATCCAAGGGCTGTGAGCTTTCTATCGGTTTGTTCATGATCTGAGGGCTGAGATGAATGCATGGAAGATGAAACTTGTACCCTCTCTTTGTGCTTGCTGTCATCATCTTGATCAAGGGCTGAGATTGAAGCTGATGTGTGATATTGTTTTCCAACATTCCCCCTCAATTCGAAACCAGGTTTTTGAAAAATTTTTAATTTATCTCTTAACCTGGTGAAGAATTGCATGCTCAATGGTTTAGTGAAAATATCTGCCACTTGATCAATAGAGGGAACATGCTGAACTTGTATACTTCCAGAAGCTATCTGTTGTCTAACAAAGTGAATGTCTATCTCAATGTGCTTTGTCCTAGCATGTTGCACAGGGTTAGAAGCCAATGCAATGGTACTCATATTATCAACCCAAACACAAGCAGCCCTTTTAAGAGAAATGTTTAACTCTTTCATCAATGATTGAAGCCACATAATCTCTGCTGTGAGATGAGCAAGACTTCTATATTCTGACTCAGTAGAAGATCTTGATACACTGCTTTGCTTTTTGGATTTCCATGAAACTAGGTTCTCTCCTAGAAATACACAGAATCCAGTGGTGGATTTTCTGTCATCCAAGTCACTTGCCCAGTCTGAATCAGAGAATCCTGTGATATTGAGATGCTTTGATCTGTGAATTTGAAGACCAAGATTTAAGGTTCCACTGAGATATCTAAGTATTCTTTTTACTGCCTTCCAATGATCATCAAGAGGAGCTGACATAAACTGACTGACTTTATTTACACTGAAAGTGATTTCAGGTCTTGTGATTGTGACATACTGAAGGCCTCCAACAATGCTTCTGTAGAGAGTTGAGTGAGCAATAGGATTACCCTTTGACTTGGATAAATGCAATGAAGAGATCATAGGAGTTGATGTTCCTTTGGCACCTGCCATGTTGGCTCTGTTGAGAAGCTCTTTGATGTAGTTTCCTTGATTCAAATGTAAGCCTGTTGATGTTCTTGTGATTTCAATTCCAAGAAAGTGTTGTATTGGCCCAAGATCTTTTAGAGAGAAAAACTTGCTGAGATGTTTAATCACACTGTTTATTTCAATTTCTGAATTCCCAGTGATGAGAATGTCATCCACATAGACAAGGAGATAGGTGCAAGCATGAGGTTGAAGTTTTAAAAACAAGGAGCTATCTGATTTAGTATCTGTGAAGCCAAGCTGAAATAAAACACTTTTCATTGTGTCAAACCAGGCTCTGGAAGCCTGTTTTAAGCCATAGAGAGCTTTGGACAGCTTACATACCATGTTATCATTCCCTTGCTCAAATCCAACTGGCTGCCTCATGTAGATATCCTCAGTTAAGTTGCCATGAAGGAAAGCATTGTTAATATCCAAATGCCTCACTTGCCAGGAGTAGGTAACAGCTAATGACAGCATGACTCTAATAGTGATAGGCTTGACAACAGGGCTAAAGGTCTCAAAGAAATCCAGACCAGCTGATTGAGAAAAACCTTGAGCAACAAGTCTTGCTTTTAATCTTGAGATATTACCATCTGCATCTTTCTTAACCTTAAAAACCCATTTACAGCCTATCAAATTTTTTCCAGGAGGCAATGTGGTGAGAGTCCATGTACCATTAGATAATAAAGCCTGATATTCATCAAGCATGGCAGCCTTCCACTGAGGAGATTGAAGAGCAGCAGCAATGGTGGTAGGCTCACTGATATTATCTTTCTGAAGATGATAAACTTTTGGCTTGAAGACACCTGCTTTAGATCTAGTAATCATATGGTGAGTAGGATAAGAAACATCAGTATGATCAGATAAAGTATGTGGAACAGTTGATGCATCACTCAATTCTGGTAACTGAACAAAAATAGGGACTGTGGTATTAGTGTGAGAAGAATGTGAT